AAATTAGCGATTTTTTTCTCCCTAGCAAAAATAACAAAAAAAAAAAAAAAAAAAAAAAAACCTATTTACAAAAAACCAATATTACATGGTTGGTATGATTGTTAATACATTGTATGTCTCCCAGACGATGCAATACAGTCCGTACAACGCCTAGGCATGCTGAGTATCAAATTATCGATCTGATCTTGGGGGATATTACACCACTCAAAAAGCAATGCTCTCCGAAGTTCCGGTAGACATGTAGGAGGAGGTTGACGGGCTGCAACTCGTCGGCCAAGCATGTCCCACACGTGCTCTACTGGATTCAAGTCCGGTGAGAATGCTGGCCAGTCCATACGGGTGATATCCTCCGATTGAAGGCATTCGCTTACGATGTTTGCACGGTGAGGACGGGCGTTGTCATCCATAAACACAAATTGTGCACCCATGGCGCCCCGAAACAAACGTACATGTTGTTCCAGAATGACGTCCCGATAGATATGGCTTGTCATGGTTCCAATTTGAACATGCAGGTCAGTTCTGGAACCCAGAATAATTCCACCCAAAACGAGCACTCCTGCACCACCGTAACGGTGTCGTTCAATGATGTTTCTTGGTGGTAACGGGTGCCTGCAGCTCTCCATATGAAAGTCCGGCGAGAATCAGACTGCAAGCTAAACCTGGACTCGTCGGAAAAAACATCACACAAGCCCACTGTTGCGGTGTCCACAATGCATGCTCTCTACTCCAGGCTAACCGCAGGCGACAGTGAGTTGCAGTAAGTGGAACGCATCTGACAGGTCTACGAGCATATAGACCAATCTGCCCTAAGCGTCTGTACACGGTCTGCCTTGAAATTGTCGTACCAGTGGCTGAAGAGAGCTGACGAGACAGGTCTGAGGCTGTGTTCCGCCTGTTTCTTTTGGCAGTAACTGCCAAATACCGGTCCTCATTCGGCGTTGTAACTCTGGGGCGACCTGTGCTGTAACGTCTACTCACATTACCATCATCTTGGAATCGTTGCCAAAGCCTGGAGATGACACTCTGGGCAATTCCAAGTTCGTCTGATACTTCCAGTTGGGTACGCCCACATTCCAGACGGCCGATAATTCGTAAAAAATCATCCAAATGCGTTCCTTTGTGTCATAACTATTCGGTTATTGCACTGAAATGCTTATAAAGCGCCTGCGAACAATTTTACTTCTTTGCCTGTATTCCTTATATATCACTCTCTTACACTCTCGTCATTGTGACGTACCATCGGTGTCATCTGGTTACTTCCTGAAATTTGCATATGATTCTTGAAGATGTGTGTAGTGATTTTACAGGTGATATATATAGAGTTCGATTTCCGCGTGACTCCGAATTATCCTTAATTTATGGACATGAGTGTATTATATAACACACGACAATAATTCTGGCATAGTCTGCCATAGTCTAAAACGAAAAAGACAAAATATAACTTGCAAATGTGACCAAAATAAATGTACAGAGATGAAAAACTTGTATCATTTTTATTGGTGGGGAAATTAGTTCAGAAAGATAGGGGGAAAGCTACCTTAGGAAAAATTTTTTCAAGGTAAATGATTTGCATTCTCGTTACCCATGGGTGAAACCACGATAAATTTCCTTAGGACATTCCGTTCACCATGGTTTGATCCTGTTTCCAAGTACCTGTGGTCAGCAGTTTTTCCGCTCGACCGTCAGTAAGCTTATAGTTCTGAAACTTTAGTAGTTCGAGTAATTCTCCAAAAAGTTATTTTTCATGGTTTGGCAACACCATATATTTGTTTACGATTAGAATAATAAAAACGAAAGGAGAAGGAGCCGTCTTTTCGTACTGAGGTGGATTGTATGTCTCATTTTAATTACGTAGGTGGATTGCCTGTTTTATTTTTATTACCAAATCTTTTTTTACGTTTATTTAATGGAGAACCGGACTGAATGATTGAAATTCAAGTAGTCTCACAACATGGTGACTACGCGAGGTGATTTTAGAGGTACATTTTTTTAATTACGCATTATTCTAAAAAAAGAATTGCTTGTTAAAGTACGCTCACCTAAAAGAGGTAATTTTACGAGGCACAGCTTCAGTATAGCCCACCTAGAATTTTAACCAAAAAAAATATTCCCAAGAGCGGCGACAAATGATATGATGTGGTAACTTATACTATTCGACAGCAAGATAAACTTGAGGATGGAATTACGGTTACAGCTAATATAGTAGTCAGTTACATTCATTCTACTTCAATACAAATTACCGCGATATCCATTTACTCATAGTTAAATGCACGTGACAATGTTTTCTTACTTTTACGGCATAGCTTCTCCTAAAATTTATCTCGCACTGCATTGCACGGGGAAATACAACATTTTTCAATTAGAATTGTACAAAATTAACTATCTACACAAACTAGACTAGAAGAGAAACAAAATCTACACAAAATTCGTAACACTATTTTCGGCGATTGTTTAACGCTCAGATATTGTGGAGAATACTGTTTTGGAGATCAGATTTTTGCATTTAGTTATGGATTGCTCTAAACCTGCTGTTAGTGATGTTGTATCGAGAGATTTTAAAGGAAAATTTAAGGGAGTTTTCAAACAAGCGTAAAAGTTTAGGAAAGCCAGGCATTCCAAACAGATATTATTTGTATGAATTAACAAGAGAGTGTGAACTTTTTAGAGGACTTTTGATGGACTGTGGATTATTGAAGGATAAAATTTGTGAAAAATATAAGATACCGTGCAAGGGTGTCTCGCATTTGGAAAAGCCTAGCAAAGGTGAGATTTTCCCGCATTGTTTTTAAAATGACATCCTTTTAACCTTAATAATTTTCATTAATCATTCCTTAATGTTTCTTTCTTTTAAAATCGTGTATAATAGTCGTAAATTTATTTCTATTATCCACGATTTCTGGTGAAATCAAGATGGCCGCCATTTTTGAAACACGGAGTTTCGTCGAAAATCTGGATGGCAACTATTTTTCAAAACAACGTGTTCCATGTGCTTTGGCGCCAAAGCAAATTAGCCAAACTTTAGAGGTGGACTATACTGAAGCTGTTCCTTTTACGAAAGATTTTTAATAGTTTGAATGACTTATTAAAAACCGAAGATGTTGGGGAAGAAAACATTAGATTTAATTTTGGTAATCGGCGTAGAATTTATTCTCAGCTATCTGAAATAGTTCAGGAAATTATGTCCTTATTATTAGAAGATAAAGATGATAAAAAAACATCAAAATGAGTATGCCATAAGAGAAAAATATATAGAAAATTTCGTAAAAGCAGATGTAAGCTTAGAAATGTGTCTATAATTTTTAGAATTGAAAATACCGTCGATTCTTCGCCACTGAAAAACCAAAAGCTAAAGTTACCGAAGATCGAACTTTTAAAATTCGATGGGGAAATATAAAAGATTGGCTTTCTTTTCTGGAGCCAGTTCAAAAGAATACATAAATATAAAAATATTTCAAAAAATGATGTTTCACTACTTATCAATTCAGTTTATGTCTGAAGTCTCTACAGCTCGCGACACAAGCAGTAAAATCGCTAAACACTTGTATGTTTAATTCAGTTTATGTCTGAAGTCTCTACAGCTCGCGACACAAGCAGTAAAATCGCTAAACACTTGTAGGGTTTAATCCTAGTATCCGGTGCACACGGGATTTGGCTACTTTTTGGCGACTTTTATGATGAGCAGTAAAAACGGGACATATACGATAAGTAGTAAACGGGTATTCAAAGAAATATACATAGTATACTATGTATATAGTGTACTATCACTATATATACATAGAACGTTCTTTTGGTAATTTTTGGTGTTGGCGATAATTTTTAAAATCGCGCCAAGGCTGCACCGTATACTAGGATTTTACCCACTTGTAGTTAAGCGGTCCGGGACTAGAATCCCGGCGAATGGGCTGGCTGTATGGAAGCTTTCGTGGTTTTGTCCATGTGTAAAGTGTATACGAGCAAGTTTCCTTTAGAACGTTTTTCACGAAGGCATCCATCAGGCAGATAGCCCTCGAGTATTTACCATAATCAAATAAACTATATCAAAACAATCTGACACTTGTAACTCGATTTACTTTCAGTAACTGCAACTGGTGTAAAATAGATTACTAATTTGATCTTTATTTACTGCACCTCATTTTTCCTACACATTCAATCCGCCTTCAACGCATTTATAATCACGTAGAGTATATATTGTCTGTGTCAAGCTAAAATAACTGCAGTATAAGACACCATGCCACAACAAAACAACACCACAACTTCGTGGCTTAATTTTTCAAAGATTAAAGTTTCATCAGCTCTATTTAATTTTTCATTTTAAATTATCACGTGTTGACTCAAAATGCGTATCTATCAAAATGCGTAAAATCTTTTGTTAACTTTTCATTCATTACTTTGTAGTTTGTTGCAAGACCTTGGCGACTTTTTAACCCTTGGCGACTTTTTCAAAATGGAGTTTTTGAAAATTATGGATGTTGCTGTTTAATAGCGTTGTAATATCCGACAAAACACATCATTTATCTTCTAGTGTCTTCTAGTTTTGCTGTTTAATAGCGTTGTAATATCCGACAAAACACATCATTTATCTTCTAGTGTCTTCTAGTTTTATTTTAGTGATATCAAATGGCATTGTCCTATATGGAACAAAACATAACTTTATTGAAAAATGTACAGTCTAATTAATAGTTATTAAAATCCGTGCAAGAGTCCATTCAAAAGCCTTTGTCTAAACTTCCATTCATAAGCCCTTGTCTAATCTTCCCTTCCGTGAATTAAGTACATTAACAGGACCTTTTATTTCAGAAATTACAAAGGAAGTTATAGGTGATTCACCCTGCATATTAAGATGCACAATGTATTAAATGCAAGTATTGCCGGATACAGCGTATAACACCAGCGATATCGCGGCAATACTTGCATTGATTGATTAAATTACATTCTTAAATAATTCTGCTTTTAAATGCATTGATTTCCAAGAAGAAGATTTTTATTTTATTTCTTAATAGGTGCTGGTAAAAGTAAAAAGACTGTTCCTCTACGTCAAAAATCTATTGGTCTGCTAACCAAAAGGGATCGGAATAGGTAAGCAGTTTATAACAAATACTCATTGTCACTAATCGAAACATAAATGAGAGGATTTGTTGAATGTGTTTGATTTATTTTGTTTTATACGAGTATGCATATCTCTATACTTCATAGATCTTTTCATTGCAAATGCACACAGTGTGTGTATTTAATACTTACGTAGGTTTCAAAATATGTTTTGTATCTTTTTACAGACTGAAATCTTGCAAATCAAGTTTCGGAACAGCGTCTTCTGCATATCATAACAGCCCGTTTGTTACTAATAATGCTACAGATGTGTATCCCACAGAAGTAAGTACCCTATCTCTGCATTTATGTCCGACTTCTTATCTGTATAAAAAATGTCACAAATCTGTTTACGTATTGTTGTGGCTTATCTAACTTGTCTGAGAGTAATATCAGAATATGGCCATGAAATTAATGGTTTCAAAGAGTGCAAGTTGCATCTCTTATTTTTCAAGAGCCTTGAGAATCGCACCCCCCCTCTTCCCCTACCACCAACCTCTCGAGAGAACATTCGGCTCACCGCATGTTTGGAATGCCCCCATGCTGCACAGACACTATATATTTACAAACATCCACACCTCCTCCGAGATTTGAACCCGGGCCTTAGGTATATGAGTCAGAGTTGCTAACCACTTTCCCGGTTGGGCGGGCGTTTAATTTTTAAATAACTTATGTTTATGGTTTTAAATAACTTATGTTTATGTTTAAATGCTGTGTATGAGTCGGTTTCTCTTCACTAGTACATTTAATGAAGAATTGAATTAAATGTATTTAACGTCGCAGATTGCCTTGAAAGATAAATTTACTTCAGCATGAAATTTAATTTGAGATTCTTAATCCCTTAACGCACCAATAAAATTTCAGAAACTGTTCTTTTTCCCGCCAATTTTTACTTCCTTGTAAGAAGTAAAGAAAGTATTGTAATCGCGAAAAATTTCGGGTATCGTATGTCAATGAAAATATCGATTTTCACCGCTATCGAATGCAATTTAAGGTTTCTCGTCCTTGACATGTGTACATACGTCGAATTGCAGAAAGGATTTAAAATTGATTCAGAAGAGATTTTTTTCGCGACCTTCTGTTCGTACGTATGAATTTCGCATAACTCAAAAATAAGTACCCTCAGAACCTTGAAATTTTGTATATAGGGCTGCTATGACATGTAGTTGTGCACCTCCCTTTTTGGTTGCCATCGGCTGCACCAAATATGTGTATATATATAGATACCCACCCTGCTACTCGGCTCCGCGAGCTCAGTATTTTTACTTCTTTGTATGAAATAAAGAAAGCAATTTAATAACGAAAAATTTTGGCTATCATATTTCAACGAAAATGTCCATTTTGACCGCTGTCGAATTCAATTGGAGGATGTTTTTACGTGACATCTGTACGTAAAATCAGAATAAAGGACAATTTTTCCCGAAACGAGTTGCAAAACGGATTTAAAATGGATTCAGAAGATATTTTTTTATGATGCCTTATCTCGCATCGTACTTATCTCGCATAACTCTAAAACGAGTAGCCTAAGAACGTTGAAATTTTGTATATAGGACATGAATGTTTGTAAATGTATAGTATCGGTGCGGCATGGCGGCACTCTAAATATTCGGCGAGCCGAAAGCCCTCTCGTGTGGACTGCTGGGAGTGGAAAGGGGTGGGAGACCCCCGTGTCCCTCCCCCGGGGTGCTCTTCTTCGAAAGGTGGAAAATAGAAGGTGGAAAATAGAAGTTCAACCTCTATTCGGAGTAGGCTCTGGAAACCATTGTTCCATGTAATATGGACAAGACAAGACCAACTAAACCTCTTTTAACTTCGGTCTTTATTTTAATTCAAAACTGCAGCGGGTACATTCTGTTGCATTCGTATCTAGAAGAATAAAATTCTTTTGGGCGCATTTATTCCGGTAATCAATAATTGAGTTTGGTTTACCCGAATCATTTCGGTTGAGTGCATAAAGAGGTTAAATGCATGTTTTTTTAAAGTACTAAATCTGAAATTTAACTGATCTTCTAATTAAATAGACAAAAGTATCGTGGTAAACTGCTGTTCAGATAGTTTTATCGCTCCCGATTTTAATAGTGAATGTATTTACTCATGGCCAAAATATAATTATTGCCATATTTATTGTTTCTTTAAGAACGTAAATATATAATATACACACGCTTGCTAATCTACCTGACTCGGTGACCTCAGTTTCTAATTCTTATACATTAGTAAATTATGCATTTTTTATTTTAAAAGTGATTGATTTCTGTTGCTTTTAAGTTTCGTTAACGTTTTATGCCTTTAGTTAATCTGCATGCAATAGTTGTAGAATTATCAACAGTTTGAGAGTTTAAACTATGCTAGGCCTAAAGAGGCTAGACACCATTGGTTTACATCTGAAATTCTTAGTAGCAGAAGGAATTAAGTCAGTTTGTGCACCAACTTCACAGCCGTTTTGCACAGTGTGACCAAACAGTAACTTTCAGTTTCGTATACACCAAAACATTTTCTCTTCTTACCCGCTGGCCGAATGGCTTGTTTTTGCATAGAAACTAATTGTAAATGTTGTTTTTTTGACTGTTTTTAACTATAGTTGGTGTTTTAGTTTTTTCTGTATTTTACAATTTTTAGTGAATATGTTTTGAGTCTTTATGCATTTTTCCTTTCCCGCGAAGTGAGAACTGAATTAGTTGAACCAGAAATATATCTGTAATGAAATTCGAGGAAATAAGTTTAAACGAAATTGCAGTGGTAGTGTATAGTTTAATAGGCAGTCTACATCACATACAAGTCATATAGTGTCTACATCTGATATTTTTCCTTGCTTGCTGTATATATTGGCGCTCATTTTTGGCTTATTTAGTTACAGCAAATACCGTGTATGTGCAATTCTTAAAAACGCGGCAAGCAGTGTGCGATTCTGCACTTCCTCCCAATTTCGCACCTAATCTTCGTCATTATTAAGCACTTTTGTTTCATAAAAGTTCTAGTATAAGCGTAATTCGGTTAGCAGATTGTTGGAAAAAAATGTTGAGGGAAAAAAAAAAAACCTTTACTTCGTAAAAAAAAAAAAAAAAAAAAAAAGGCGTTCAAAAAAAAAAAAAAAAAAAAAAAAAAAAAAAAAAAAAAAAAAAACTAGCAGGTTGCTGTAGCAGAGTTGGTCGCCAAATTTTCGCCAAAAAGTCGCCAAGTTATCATAATCCGAAGACTAACCCTAGGCAGTTATAAACATTAATTGAAGAAAGCAGCTAACATGTAGAAAACAGCGATTGGCTTGAAAACAAAACCAGCTGGCCTATGGCAGCGGCCATCATAGGTCGTGACGCCATATATTCTGACGTTTCATGGCTTCATTCTCATTGCATGGGATACACGAAGAAGGCTTACTCCGTTTATTCTAACCTCCTTGAATTAAACATTTTTATCTCCAGCTCGCGAGACTTTGTATCGGAAATTCTAAAGATATGCTGTTTTTAAATATTTTGTTATTTTGCCGTTGAATCGAATTTTACCTGGCGCCGAGAATCTGATATTTAAGCCATCTTAGTAAGATAACTGAACACTAATATGATAACTTAGGAAGAAAAACTGGGGGGGGAAGTATGCTAACACTTAACGCTGCATCGGTAATTCTAAACGTATGCTGCTTTTAAATTTTTTTAAATTTTCCTGTTGAATTAGTAATGGTGTAAGTGCGAAGAAAATGATGCTTGGTAATAAAGCTAAAAAGACCAAACAAAGGTTTTGGGCAAATCTTACTCTAGCACTTTTTATCATACGTGTATCGTCTCAACGCCAATTATGGTTTGCCAGTGCTCTGATAAGTTTGCGCAGTAAAAGACTTTGCGTTGCCTTTCGAAAATTTCGAAATTTTTTTCATCGTTATCTTAAGTGTGAGAGTTCTGTTGTTTTAAATCATCATAATTTCTAGCCAACCTGTATTAAGTATAATTCAGATTACGGAAATACGTGTAATTTAATAAACCGAAATAGGATTGCAATTAAAAAAAGAAACATGCTAATTGGAAGTTTATGTTAATTGTAAATTATTACTGCTTAATCAGTTCGTGTTACAATTACTTTTATAAAAAGCTGATGACTTTTGTTTGGGGTGATGACTGACGCGATTTTTTACAGGGTTAGTAGCGGTCCTTATAAGTCCTTATATTTGAAAATAAAATATAAAGGCCCTTATAGGTGCTTACTTTTTCTTTAAAGCCCTTATTTTTTTTTGTTTTTAATGCTTATTTTTTTGCTTTTAGTGCTTCTTTTTTTTTTTTTTTTTTTTTTAATGAACGCGCTATTTTTCCCGGTACCAAAGCCGAAACTAAATAAACAACTTTTCTTCCTAATATGGAATGTCAGATGGTGAATCATACTCCCGGAAATAGCTTTTCCCCTTTCCCTGCATTAACATAACCTTTGGTATGCACGAAGAGTACAGACAGGTGCCCGTCGTTCTATTGGTCAAAGAAATGCGAAAGCAGTAGAAAATTCCTGTACATTCGGCATTCTTTTCCTCCCACCCAAATACTACACACGTTTGAATTTCTATCAAGATCTTAATAATTTGCATTCTTGTTCCGCTTGGTCAGTTCATATTCGTGTTTATTATGATCATTATGCTTATATTATGAGCATATGTATGAATGTTTATAATAACATAGTTGCAGTAACTGCTGAAGTATAGTAAACTTTCAAAAATGGTTGTGTTTTAACACACATTAGCTTTCTAAGGAATAATATTCGGAATGGCTTAAATAAAGGGAAAGTAATCGAATAGTCAAAATAATTTTGTTTTTTTGGCCAATACATTATACAGTACGAAGATTGGGAGGTTCTCCGATAATCTCGAATGTTGAAACTATTACAGTTCGCTGCAAAACAAGCAACGGACTTTTTTTTTTTTTTTTTTTTTTGTCACTTTCCAATCTGGATTGAATAGGACTAAAAGCTCTGCGGTCTACCAACCCAAGCGAAAGAATGATTGTATTCCGGAAATTTAACGCCGTCTGTTGAAAATTAGAATGAAAAACACCCCAGTTATTTAGTTCTTAGTTTTTTTATTCTCCCAATACCGGCAGTTTGTTGATTCCGATTGCGTAATATCACGTAGGGAAGAATTACGGCGCACGTATTGCGCAATAACGCTTGCGATATTTTGCAGAGATAATTAATTTTGATGTTCTGTCAGAGATTTGTTTATGAACACTTAAAAGAGTTTTACTGTGCTTGCTAAGCAGAATATTTTTCAGTTCCATTGGTTTATTTTTATATGATGCGCATATCGAAATGTCAAA